GAGAGAGAGAGAGAGAGAGAGAGAGAGAGAGAGAGAGAGAGAGAGAGGGAGGGAGGGAGGGAGGGAGGGAGGGAGGCATAGAGAGATACACAGGGAAAGCATGAAAGGATCTCAACAAAGTTGAGAATGTTCTCGCTCTGTTACATGTTCCCTTTTGTTCTCCTCTATTACTGTGCGCCTCGTATCCCTCCCTCCCACTCTCCCTCCTCCCGTCCCTCCCCTGGCCCCCAACACTCCCACCGTGCACAGCCATTTTACAACAGGGTTTGAACATGATCCTAGCTACACATGGGTTCGTTCAACTTCGTTGGGAAAAAAAACMCCTTTTGTTTTCTCTTTTTTTTTTTTCTTTGTTTTCTTTCTATGTCATCCTCCGTATTGTTTTGAATTGTTGCCCGTGAGCAGATTATTTTCCATCCTTTGAGAATAGCCTGAAGCTGGATGCTTAGGGTGGGTGGTTTCGCTTACTGAGTGTAAGCAACTTCGCCCTAAGATTGCTGATGAGAGGAGCAAATCTCGTGAGGATGGGAGGTGAGCCTGGGAACTGCTGATTAATGAATCACATGAACTTACTACTTAGTCTTATATGAACTATTATCCATTTTTTTTTGTTTTTTTCCCCCCAGTTTCTGTAAACTTGTGTAAACACTTTTCTCCAGTCGCTTGTGCTGTGGTGCAGAAATGGTGGAGGGTTACTGTGAGGTGAATGCCTTGCCACTGACAATTTCTTTGGCACTTTGTCTGGTATCCTCTGCTGTGATGTAGAAATGGTGGAGGGTGAGGCAAATGCCTGTGCATTCTGTTGTCAAAGTCTCTTGTGGTCGGGTTTTGAAGCACTCCAATACGGATCTGCTGCTGACAGTTGTTGGCCCTGCTAGCAAGAATCTTGACCTTGAGGTGCGGCAACAACTCCACTTGACTAGTGCTGTTTGTTTTCCCCAGCTCTTTGTTGTTACAACATGAACACTGGCATGCCTTGTACTTTCTCATGAATGAGTACACAGACGCTAACCGATTCAACATACGACCCTCACGTTACGTTGCTTTCAAAGTTGGACTTTGGAAAGAACAGGCTGACTCATCAATCTATATCGCAACAGTTTCAACTCAATCAATTTGTTTGCCTCTCCACTTACATATATCACCTGTTTGACGTCGTCGTCATTTTGTCATGCATACCTGCTAGCGCCAGCTCGCCCCAGTGTGTTCTCTGCATCGACTGACCTGAGAAAGAGACTGGGGGCTCAAAAGTGTAGGTGATGAGCCGTGTGTGTGTGTGTGTGTGTGTGTGTGTGTGTGTGACACATGCTCGATCGAGCGATGTATATGGAGCCAAGGATCTTCAAAGTGATGAAAAGGACTTGAATCAACAATGCAGCGTCACCAAAGCATCAATAAGCAATGTACATCCAGATACATACGAAAATAGCTCAATGTAGCGCAACGGAAGGCTCAAAGATATGACCTGACCTGGATACTGATGCGACACCCCATCATACACCACACATGTGAGAGTGAGAGGAGGGACCGCATACATAGAAGAAAGGTCCCTCCTTGAGCATGCACATGGGGAGATACCACGGATGAGGAGCTGGGGGAGGAGGCGAGACGAAGATGGTCAGGAGGGAGAAGACCAAGATCGCGGCAAGTCCAAAAATAGTCTCCCTGCCGAATGTCCAATCAATGTCTGCCACAAAAAAATGTTGAATCATATCCTGGGCCTCATAGCCCGATGTAACCTCTGCCTGTAATCTCTCTCTCTCTCTCTCTCTCTCTCTCTCTCTCTCTCTCTCTC